CGTCCCCATCCCTGGGGGTATTTAAAAGCCGGGCAGATGAGGTGCTTAGGGCCAGGGTTTAGTGGTGGGATGGCAGGGTTAGGGTAATGGTTGGACTTAATGGTCTTAAAGGGATTTTCCAACCTAAACAATTCTATGATTCTGTGTGAGTTGGTCATCCCCACCTCGTGTCTGAGGGTGCAGTACCTGGGAAGGAGCAGCTGCACAGCATGTACCAGGGTGCTGAGACTGCCCAGCATGATAGGCCTTCTAAAATGCCACGGAGGAACCCAGCCTCCCTGAACTCGATGCTGACCTTAGCAAGGCCTTCAAGCGTCTATGGGAAACAGATCCGTTGGTTTAGGATGCTTTAGGAAAACCTGTGCATCACTTATCTTCCTGTTTTATCATTCAGTACTGGGTGAAACTGGGAAACAGAAGCTGTCCTATGCAAATAGGGAATGCGTTTCTACTGTACTTCATTAAACCAATGAAAGTGGTAGGAAGGAGGATTCCTAAAGACTGGGGTGGAAGGATTAAAGTTTCAATTTTCCTAGACTTGCCAAGGGGCTGGTATCCCAGGGCACCATCCCCGCGCTGCTCACCTGATGCTGAGATCAAAGCTTGCACTGAGAACAAACCCTTTCTTCTCGTTGAGGAACAGTGCTTTGATGCTGCCAGCATGGCCAGAGAGTAGAGGCACCACTTCTTTCATTCCCAACATACCAAGAAGCCTCACTTTTCGGTCTGCAGAGCCAATGGCTACCAAGTTTCCACCACTGTAATGGATTATTCTGCTTCGGTCTGATCTGGATAAGAAATAGCATCCGCAATGAGCTTTAACCGCCTAACAAGGTACAACAGGTCTAAGATGGTGACAGGCATTTCTCTGATCCTTCATGGTCCTCATTGAGCAACCTGATGGCCAATACATGTAAGCAGGTGAATCCTTCTCAGGCCACCACAACCAAGGTCCCTAGTTCTGCATGGCCATGTTTGCATCTGGAGGGTAAGTGTAAAGAGGGGAGAGGGCTCCTCCCGGCCCCATATCCCTTGTGGGGATCCCACTGTGGATTGCTAACCCTTACCTCTTTAAACATAACTTAACCTTGGTATCTTTAGAAACAACTGGGTTTGACACTGAGTATTTCCAAGAGACCCTTCTCCAGCCATACATTCCCACAGAAGGATTGCAAGGAATGGGGATATGTTTTCAGAAGCCACTGTTGGCCCTACAGCCGGGCAGTCTACTCACTGGTCTGTGAGGACACGAATATTGTAGGAGCCACAGAAGACATTTCTCTCTTCCAGCTGAATCGTATCAGTTTGCAGATCACGATAGGCTGCCTGCAGGCTGTCTGCCTCCTCCTGAGGGGAATACAAGTTGGGAAGGGGGGAACGTAGCAATACTCCATAGGATTAACTGTGTCAGCTTGGTCCCCACTCTAGCGATGAGACCAACGGGGACAAAGTGCTGGTAAGGAGCACCCAGCGTGCAGGAACTTCTGGTTAGTGCAGAAACGAGGGTTGATCCCATGCCATGTTTCATGGCAAAAATGGAAGACCTGACAGCTGCACCCTTTATTCTTTGGGAAAAAGGCCATGTCCTTGTGATGCTGCCCAGCCTTGCCAGCACCTCTGGCCTCAAGGCCGTTCATGTGATGGAGGGACACTAGGTCAAGGCAGGAGTTCAGGGATGCAGGCTCCCTCCCATGCAAGAAGGGACTGAGCAAGCATTGGGCTTTACGAATTGCCCACAACGGTGCGGGGCAGAAGAAGGAGTGGGAGAAGAGCAAAGCAACCCCAAATCCAGTCCTGCCTTCCAACACCACTGTGTCCCTCTTCTGCCCCAAGTGCCAAAATGTAGGATCTGTGGAAGGTAAATGACTTCCAACATACCTTTGTTTTGCTTTCCCAGTTGTGGCCTTTCACTTCGATGACCTCTCCCTCTTCGTTTAACTGCGGAATTGTCACATCGACTGTTTTAGCATAGTTTGAAACCGCTCCTCTGGGGCACAACCCCTGGAATAAAGCAGTAGAGGCAACGCAGTTACTGCGGAGCCCACGCGTGCAAGGGATGCTGCTTACGTGCCAATGCTTCAGCATCTCCAGGGGATGCTGAAGCTACACGCAAAGCTGAGCTGCACACGCTGGCTTGCTGTTAATGTTTAAGGGACCTGGCTTGCATTTACCACTTTGTTGGTATAAGATTTAACTTCATGTGAAAAATAATTGCTTTTTTTTTCCCCGAACTCCAGTCTTAAGCTTTTAATAAGCTGCAAAACTTTTCCACTTCAACGGAAAAAAATTTCAAAGTGCATCTCATCTTCGGTGAGCACTCAGTTCAATCAGAATCCAAATTCACTGAGATGAGAGGCTCAGAAAACATCTTTATCAATATCTAAGATTCATTTTTAATGTGTGAAACCTTCCATTAAACCTTCTTTGAATGCTAGCACAGAGCTGAGATTTCCACGCTCTCTTCACAAATCAAAGCATGAGGAGACCCCAAACTTTGTCTCTTTGGGGATTTACCTTTACCCTTAGCTTGGTCTGTGGCAGGTCTGTACTAACCAGGACGAGCCTTCCCAGGAGTTCTGCTTTACTGAGTCCCAACCACCAGCTCTGACCTCTCACAAAGAAACCTGGCATTCCCATCTCCCTGTGCAGAGCAAATAAAGCTCAGCCTTCCAGCTGCCTCGGGGAGCCACTGTAGCTCTGCCCTGTTCCCACTAGCTCCTGAAAGCCCAGTATTTGCATTTGTGATTAAACACTGCTTCCTTGATTACAAGAATGTTTTGATCCATTTTTAGAGTCACAGGCTCACTAAGGGTCAGTAAGGGCTATCCTCTCATGCTTACTTGTGACAGTATAAACATCTAACCTGGCTTAGCTCTGCAGATGGAGGAAGAAAGAACAGGGAAAAGCTGGGAGGTGGCCTCCAGTAAAGGCACCTCCAGCTAATGGCTTAGGCGGTAACAGAAAAACACTCTTTTTAAAGTGCAGAATGATGGCAGAAGCCCAGACACCATACCTGCAAATACAGGATCTTCTCCTGCACTGTGCTTTGACACACACGTTGCCTCTTGACTTCTTTGGCCAGAAATGCCCAGCATCTACTCACGGCAGTACATGCATTGAGGGATTTTTGATCCAAAAGCCCTGAGGAATTAAAGGGACAGATTGGTAAACCCCTAGACACGCTAGAGACCATCCATTACCCTTACAGGAAGGCATGCCTGGAAAAGACTCTGGAGCTCAAGGCTGATGGGGAGCAGCTGGGGGAGCTGGGGGTGTTCAGCCTGGAGAAGAGGAGGCTGAGGGGAGCCCTTATTGCTCCCTACAACTGCCTGACAGGAGGGGGGAGCTGGGGGGGTCAGGCTCTGCTCCCAGGGAACGGGCGATGGGACAACGGGAAACGGCCTCAAGTTGTGCCAGGGCAGGTTTAGCTTGGACATTGGGAAAAATTCCTTCCCCGCAAGGGCTGTCAAGCACTGGAAGGGGCTGCCCAGGGAAGGGGTTGAGTCCCCACCCCTGGGGGTATTTAAAAGCCGGGCAGGCGAGGTGCTTAGGGCTTAGATTTAGTGGTGGGATGGCAGGGTTAGGGGAACAGTCGGGCTTGATGAGCTTTTCCAACCTAAATGATTTTACGATTCTATAAAATCAGAGCAGCTTTACCCAGGATGCACATGGACAGGTGAGGTGGCAGGGAGCGAATGAAGTCCTTGGGTCGGTTGACATTAGAGGGTGACTGGAGAGATGCAGGAACCCCTGTGTCATCGTGATGGGCTAAGGACACAATAGGTAAGTTGTCCTCTGCATCAGGACCCTCCTGGATGAGGCACTCAGTGTTTTGGGGCCGGAAGCACATTGCTGGTGGTTGACCACCTAGAAGACAGGGGAGTTGAGAGTCTTGTATACGCTTGCGCTTCAGTGGCTATCAACGGTGCTGTTGTTAGTAATGCACTGCGAGACTTGGTTGATCTTAACCCGACTCCTCTGCTAATCCCTTTGGTACTGTACTGTTCAGAGGAAAATCCTGAAAACACTTGTGTCTCATGGGAGAGTTCATGCCAGGAGGGTTTGAGGGCAGAGGAGGACAACTCTGCCCACTCACCACTGCCCCAGAGGGTAGCGAGGGCTCTTCACAGATGGAAAAAAATGGTGTGATCCAAGGGGCCACAGGAGACCTTGGGCGAGCTTGGTGGGGACACAGTGCAACAGTTTTCTCTTTACAAACACAAAATACTTTACCTCCTCCACCTCTGTCTACAGCAATCACCAGCATGGGAGGGCAACTGTCCCAGACTCTAAGGGGAAATACCAAAACAACCTCATGCCAAGGACATAGCATTTTGTTCCTGAAAAGACCGGAAAACCTTCTCTTCCTTTAGCCATCAAGATTTTCTTCAGTGAAAATATGGAGTAAGGCATTGCAGAAGGAAGGGAAGGGGGACAAATTTCTCTCTTATCTCTGAGATAACAGGAGGGCAAACGCAGCTCATGCCCTTATCACATTAGTTGTTTTTGCTGGTGTCTGCATACACCTCTAGCACCTTTGCCAAACGGCAGCCCCCCACAGTGCAAGGCTTTCCTTCCTTTTAGGTGCAATGCCAGCCACAGTGCTAGGTTTTGAAATTTGGGTTGTACTGGTGGAAGACCTTACACCTGGCAGAACAACATCTCAGTGGGTGGAAGGGAAGATGCTGTCTTTCAACTCTTTGCCAAGGGCATACCATCAGCACCTCGGCAAGCCCAGGAGGTGACTCAGAGCAAAGGCAAGCATCTGCTGAATGGCATCACCTCTGCTTGCATCGCGCTTTGAACTTCCCAGATAACTATCGCCATGGTCTGCCATGCTTTTTTCTAAAATGCCTGTCCTGGTTTCAGCTGGGATAGAGTTAATTTTCTTCCTAGTAGCTGGTGTGCTGTGTTTTGGATTTAGTACTAGAAGAACGTTGATAACACGCTGATGTTTTAGTTGTTGCTGGGTAGTGCTTAGACTGGCCAAGGACTTCTCAGCTCTCAACTCTGCCAGGTGCACAGGAAGCTGGGAGGGGACACAGCCAGGACAGCTGGCCCAAACTGACCAAAGGGCTATTCCATACCATATGACATCATGCTCAGTATATAAGCTGGGGGAAGAAGGGGGGACGTTCAGAGTGATGGCATTTGTCTTCCCAAGTAACTGTTACACGTGATGGAGCCCTGCTTTCCTGGAGATGGCTGAGCACCCGCCTGCCCATGGGAAGTGGTGAATGAATTCCTTGCTTTGCTTTGCTTGCATGTGCAGCTTTTCCTTTCCCTATTAAACTGTCTTTATCTCACCCCATGAGTTCTCCCACTTTTACTCTTCCAATTCGCTCCCCCATCCCATTGTGGGGGAGTGAGCGAGCGGCTGCATGGCGCTGAGTTGCCAGCCCAGGTGAAACCATGACAATGACCCAGAACCAAATTGTTCCTCGGCAGTGCCAAGTTAGTGTCCTGGTATGAAACACCATAGATTACCCCCCACACACACTCCCCCATATTAAATACTCAGAGAGTGGTACCTGTCATATTAAGCTGGCTAGTTCTTGTGGATGAGGTTGTTCTTTTAAGAGCTGCAGAAGCAGCGCTAGCAGACCATGGTGGAAATTGAATCGGGGCACTGGGCTGAGGACAGATGTCTTCCTTGAAGCTGCTTTGGGACTCAGCAGATGATCCATCTACATCTTCCTGTGGAAAAATAAAGCAGAGAGTCAAACTTTTCAGTAGGCATCTTAGAGCTGAACTAGGGGATGGCAGAAGTCGGAGTAGTATACTAAGTATCTAATAAATAAATTATGCTACATTACTTATTCTATCCTTTCTAGCCACCCAGAATTAGCCCCCTCAGTGCTTTCTTTAGTATGGTTTTCATTACTTAAACCATCCAATTCACAACCGTCCCTCCTGAGAATGCGCTGACCAGAAGAATTCATAAGGAAGTCTTTCTAATTACGCTGTTGTCAACTACACTCCATTATAAGCTGTATTCCCCTCCCGTTAGCGATCACCTCATTTCCAGGGTCACTGCACACCGGTGTGCACATACAGGCTGGTGCTGTGGCAGAGCTGGCCCTGGGAGGCTGATGCTGGGTCAGGGTAATGCTGCTGCGTCCAAATCTCATCTGGCCCCGTCTCCTGCTGCCAGGAACAAACCATTCCCTTCTGTGCTCACCCTGGCTTTGCCCACTTATTTCCTACAGCTGAAAGGCCCAGAGACCTAAACCATACCAGATTTGCAGTATTAACCAGCAGGTTAATAGCTATATTTGCCTTGCGCTACAATTAACAGCTATGTTGGCTGGGTGGTTCCTTCAGCAGTTACCCTTGGTACCGCCTGCACAGGGAATTTTGCCCCACACAATGAAATACCTGCTGGAGAGGGGAACAGCCAGAGCAGCAGCATTGGGAGCTGCCAGGCTGCTGCTGGTGATGGAAAGGAGCTTGGGCAATGTTACCTCCATCTTAGCATCACCCCTGGACCGCAGCGCTTGTACCCTGCTCCGAAACAGCCTGAGCATCTCCCCTGGCTGTGGGCTGGCCCGGAGCATGGGCTGAGAAAGCTCTGAGGCACATCTCCATCTCTGGGACACAAAGGGGGTGCCTGGAGCACCCCATGTTCCCCAAGGGACACAAGACAGGCTCGCAAACAGCCGATAACCCCAGCCCTACCACCCTGCAAACAAAAGCTCGTTCCCCAGAGAAGGAAGAACGCAGGCGAGGGCTCTGGGTGCTGGTTCTCTCCATCGCTGGCCCTGAGGCTCTGTTAAAAGCCAGGCACCCTGGGCATGGGTGCCAGCCCCTCACCGGGCACAACCACGGGTCCCTTCGGTTCGCGTTAAACTCGGGCACCTTGCAAGTCTCAGCTGGGGGAAACCAAGAGGGGTTTTGGAGCCCAGGGGGACCCAGCACAGTCCCAGCACGGCCTGGTCTGCCTTCCCTACGCTGATAAGCTCGAAAAGCACTGAAGGGGAAACCCCAACGGCACCGGCACGCCCAAACACCAACCCTCCCCGCCCGACCGCTCTGGCAGCGAGGGTTTCGCTCCAGTTTTCTGCCCCATACGCGGTAAATGAAGCATCACTCGAAGATGGTTCTGTGCCCCAGCATCCCCGCGCCCGGGCGCAGGCCGGATCGTTTGTCCCCGGGACCCCTCACGGCCGGGCGG